TTCAAACATTAAAAATTTATTAAATATATTTAATTTTTATAATTTTACATAAAATATACATCAATTTTTTTTAAAACATTCATAATAGATAGTATTCTCATTTATTATTATAGGAGTATTTTAGGATCAAGAGAATTAAATAAAAAAAGTTGATGAAAAAAATTTAAATTTTTTTACCTATAAATAAGTTTAGCTGTTTTTATATATAAGACCAAATTATTTAATTTACAATTAATTTAGTTGATATATTTCTGTCCTATTTATATATATTTTTTCAGAACTATCTTTATATTATTTCTTTTTTCAAATTAATACTCATATATCTTTTAATTAATTATAGTATATGTTCTATATTATTTTTCTCTCTTAAATATTACTCATCTTTATTTTAATTAATTAAAAATACATATATTTTAAATAATTCATAATTAATGTATTTTTATTAAAATAAAAAAATAAATTTTAATTAAAAGTATTTTAATATAAAAATAATTAATATGTGAAATAATATAAATTGGATCATATATAAAAGAATAAATAATTATCTTAAATTACATTTTATAAATATGAATAAAAGTAGGACTTCAGTTGTGAATATAAGTGTAAAAAGTTTGATTTACGCTATCATTTAATTTTCTAATTTCATAAAAAATTGATTTATTTTCAATGTTACCCTCACTTTAGGAGAAGAATAAAAATGAACATTAAAAATATAATTTTAATTAAATGAAAAAATATTTTAGAAATAATAATATTAAATAAAATAAATTAATTGAGCTTAACTTATATTTGAGATTAAATATATATATATATATATATATATATATATATATATAAAGTTTCAATTATTTTTAAAATATGTTTCATTTAATTTGTATTTTATTTTCAATGATTTTTTATATATCAAATTTTAATAAAAATTTAAAAATAATTTGTTTTAAAATTACATTGGTACAGTTCAATATAATATTTTCTTTATTCCGCGCTAAATATATTCTTATATTATTTTTACTCCAACTAACAAAAGTTAATAAACAATGAAGAGGATAACAAATTTACAAATTATTTTTATTATTAATCTTTTTATTAATAGAAAAGATTACCATGATAAT